CCCCCCCCCCCCCCCCCCTCCCCCCCAACTACATTTTCACCGATAAATTATATCCAGCGGCTATATGAATAACAATGGTATTAGGAGGACCTACTCCATTCCTAGCTGGACCACTACTTTCGGTACAACAAACCTTCAACTCCAGATCAGCGAAGAAATATCACTGACCGCGGAATTATTTGTAAAGCGACATACGTTCTCCTTGCTGAGTCTTCATTACAGTTGAGACGGGTGTCGGTTGTGATGATATAGGGCTAATGAGATTTGGCAGGGTTTTCTGCGTCTCATGGGGCTTCGGCAGGTTCCCTCTAAGCATTCTTATCTGAAAGACAGCTACTAGCTGAGCGATTTTTGAGAAGAGCTTCATTTCTCACCTCTCTTTCCAATTCTGCAGTTTCATTCCTTAAACGATCACAGTCGGCCTGAAGTTCGGCCTGCTGTTGCTGTTTTTCTTCGATCACTTCGATCGCTCTTCGTAGGATTACGGCACGAGATGCCTGAATGGTACGTTCCATTTATTCTTGTCCATCTCATCCTTAGGGTCAGTCTCATTTTCCTGATTTGTCAAAATCACCCTCGGCTACGTGTTCTAGCGAGAAGGCATTGAACGTACCCTTTCGTTTTGCATATCGGGGACAGCGTCTTTGAGGCTTGTGTACATGTCTTTGATATTATCTCTACGCCTGCGTTCCAAAGCGTTATGTTGAGCTCGAGCATGACGTTTGTGATCATCAACAACGCCATCTACACTATTCATTCCACCTTGAGATGAAAGTGGAGACTCCAGCTGCTCATCCTGAAATTACAGCAGATGGGTCAGTAAATAATAAGGTGAAGTGCGGTTCAGGTGACACTGGTATTTGTAACACTAGTTACGCTGACAAATTTGAGGAATTTCGAAAATAACCTCACTTTAACTATTAGATTTGTAATTCTCTTTGCGTAGGGATTTTAAGCTTCCTGAATGCTATAAATGAAAAAGGAAATGGGAACTCACGTCGAAATCACTGTCGTCGTCCATAAGCGACCTGAAAATCATAGTCATGTCGTCAACACGGTCGAAGATGCTTCACCGAGAAAAACATTAGTAATATCCTTCAATATCCATCGAAATCACAATATCATCATCATTGTAAACTTCTACAGTCATGAAATTTGCTTTATAAACATTGTAAAACATCAGATCACAGGTATTTCACACGTAGCTGAATTGTAAAACTGAGGATTTCTTGGGGGGACAACGCAATAAATTAATAAAGTAAATAAACTCGTTCGCTAGAATCTATACATGTTTCATAGATTCAATACACGGTGTTATCACATTGCAAGAGCTTAGAGCAAAGAGAGAATCGTTAACAAGAATGAGGCAGCTACAGCAAAAGCTTCTAAAGATAAGGAGATTTGACTAGATAGAAAACCAGGAACAATCAGCAGAAGAGCTAAGAAAAAATCTTTGAAAGTGACAAGATACTTAGGAGGTTGTGCAACGCTCAAGAAACCTGACAGTATATAGAAAAATACAGGAGTTGCGAAACTATTCGAAAAATCTACATTGCTTGATACGAAATTGAACATAAAAGAAAGATCTAGTGGATCCACTTCCAAAAAGTGATCTAGAAGTTGCCTGCTTTTAGTGCTCACTGGTCCAGCCATGCCCAAGGCCGCAGAGACGCTTCCGACAGCAACACCAAGGAGGATGGCAAATGGGCGGGACGTCCTTTTCTGCGAAGAGAAAAAAAGTAGGAAAGGCTGCTGTAGTACGCACTGCCATGAAAGCAATCATTACAACAAAAAAGCGTGGGAAGTAGCGAGGTTATGTGGTGGCCTTTAATAAGGTTTGAGAATGTTCAAATTAAGCTATAAAGACATAGCAGAACTGGGATTGGCTTAATAGAACACAAAAATTCCGCACTACATTAGGTCTCTACATCGATTCTCATTCCGTTACAGAACGACCCAAAAAATTGGACTTGGGGACTACTAGAGTGAATCTCACACTATGGAACGTAATTCTCGAACCGTTAGAGAACCACTGACAGCGCAATCAACTCACGTATGAACACACAAACTTACCCAAGTCATGAGCAATGCTAATGCTGAATTTGCCAAAAAAATATTGAAAGGTAGAAGCATGAAAATCAACAGATTCAACAGCAACGATGAAAAATACATGATTTTTGGTATTATCGAGTACCTGAAAAAAATTCATGCGATCAGATCGAAAAGACTGCTTGAAAACAAAGAAAACTCCGCTTACACTAATTCCTTCATAGATCTCACGAATACGGATATGTAATATAAGCATGAGATCGCATAGAATATCGTAGCGGCAAAAACGGACTCGAGTATCCAAATATTATAAGTAAAGCACATGAAACTATAAGAAGGAAATACGTCACAGTAACGGTGAGATAAGGTGAAAACATCAACCAACATGATGATCAAAATTGCCGCATTAACATAAATGCCGCTTCCTATATAGTGATCATTTTGTTCTGAGCCTGAAAAAACGGGTGATAATACTGTGAATATGATGAACAGCGTGTGCAGAACTTCCTCAGCCAAGAATTAGAAGGAATTAGGAGGGTGGACAAAATTACAAAAGCGCTGAGACAGAGCTACAAACAACACCATACCCACATAAAAGTAGAAAAGCCCACTATAGGAATGACCTCAGTGTTATAAAAAAACATTTAGTATAAGGCATATTTATGAATGAAGTTGTTTGACATTGTTCCTCACCGCCGTCGATAATAACAAAGTGAAAAGTGAAGCCAAAGAAGTGGGGAGACAGTTCACTAACCATCAAGAAACAAACTCTGCTTCACAAATATGCATTACCTGCTAGCTTTTCGATAATTGCAAGAGCCAGGAGAACAGAAAAGGTAAAATGCATCAGAAGCCCAGGGTTTGACACCAACAGCTGCAAAAACCGTAGAAAAAGAAATTCGCTTGATGGGCATCAACATTTTAATAAGCTTACCAGATACCAAGCGTGAAATACATTAGGTTTGATGGCGATGTCGAACTTACATCCAGGCTTTCCCTCCATTACAATATTGCCGGAAGCTGGAATACGATCAGAATTCTTCCACTTGAACCAAACCTTGTGAGCAACGCTCGAGAACATAGAAGAAAGTAACACAAACTTGAAACTAACTCGAGTTCAGGTTGTAGAGCAAGTTTATGGTCATAACTTTGCTACCGTTTTTTAGAGTAGCCGAGCGAGCAAGAGAGTTTGGATAAATGAATAACAAAGATGTATCTATAACAATGCATTATCGCAAAGAAGAAAATCTATCTGTTTAATTCTTAAAAAAATTCTCGTAAATTAGTTAGAAGGTGGTTGTTGTAAACTGAAACGTTTCTTTACCACCTACCACAAGTCGATTCTAGAGACACGTCATATACTGCATATGTTGAGTGAAATTCCAACTTGAAAACTTTTTTAGAAGACTGAAATGAAAAACCATAGGGAGGCAAGCAATGGATCATTAGAAACTGGTCATACCTCTAAAACACCTCGGTAAACACGGGAAACCCATGGATAGTCAAACGTCCCAATTTTCACATAACTAACACTGGAATTCGAGACGGATCCTTCATCTCCTTTCAAAACTGTTCCACTATCGGTTATGTTTTGTAAGTGAATATTACGTTCTTCGTCGAAAAACTCTTTTACAATTGTGCGAGCAGAACGTGGATGTGCTTTCATCTCTTCTAACCCATACTTGTACAAAATTCGAGTCGAATGCCTGAAAAGGTAAGAAATTCACTCGCTCCAAGGGCAAGAAAGTGGACATCCTTGCCTTGTCAGTTGGTTGCACCATAGAATGCATAAGTGATCCGCAGAAGTGTCTACTCCACGAATAGACCACGCAGGGCGATGGATTACATGACTCTAGAAGATTGGGTGTGTTTTACTCAAAATAATACGAAATACGTGAATATAAATGCACTATCCACAGTCTGGGTGCATCTATCCAAACAATTAAGTATAGTTATACTGATGATCAAATGCTATATCGAATCTGTATGTGAAAGAGCTAATGGGAACAGAAGGAAAACCAAGTGACCCACTATAGAAAATTCCTAAAAAAATGGAACTGGTTTCAGATCGAGAACTAGGGAGAAGTATCACACCGCGATAACGTTCAAATCGCGATTGATATGGAAAGCACTGCCATATGCAAGACTCTCACCCCAGGAAAAGCAGCTAAATGGTCTGGTACTTGGTAATCCTTTGAGCCGCCACTGTATGAAACCACTCCAACTTTACGCAAGTCATCACGTCGTGTAAGCCACGCCTTTTCCATTGACTCGTAAAAAGCCACCATAGCTTCGTCCATCATTACGGCTTAAAAATGGATTACTCAGAAAGAGTGCACCACTGAAAGGTGAGAGAATGGATAGTGCATCTTTGGAGTTGAAGACTAAAACTTACGCGAAGCAGTAAGTGGTGCAGCCAAAGTTATTATAAGTCCTAGATTAGATATATCGAAATCAGGAACAGCTGGTAGGGCATGAATGACAGTACCACCGAATGAATGACCAATGAGAATTATCTGCAGGGGTTTTCATAAATCTGAGACAAAAACACTGAAACAAAATGGTAAGTACCTTGCGAGAGTACATCTTTGTAAGAGTGGCGATCGCTTTCATAACAAAATCTCGCTGGCGATCCACAACCGCGCCGCTGAGAAAAGAAAGTTCCTAAAAACTAACAGCTGATATAATCAAAAGCAATTCACACAAAAAAATACCTCATTGAAATCCAAAGAGTAAAAATGCATGCGAAATGGTGCGGACGTCATTTCTGTCTTGTTCATCATAATGGAAGCAACAGATCGCACCTTAAAAACCGCATCATTAGAACCATTTTAAACGTGGGACACAGATCAATAATTGATGTACGCGTTAAGAATTTACTGATATTAACACAGAAGTAAGAATCCGAAAAGATAGGAGTGCAAACATTTGGGATTAGAGAAGAAGAAAAAATAATAGAAGCGGGAGCGTAATTCAACAAACTTTAAAACGAAGTTCTATTTATTGAAATTGCAAAAATAGGCTTTGGCCGTCTTTTCAATGGAGATTGGATGTAAGAAGCAACGATACCTGCTTTGCCGATCCACCACTCCCAGGAACAAAAAGCACTGGGATGTCGCTTGATGAAACAGCCCTGCAAAGTAATCTTTTCATTCAAAAATCAGAAATTTGTCAAACAAAACGTTTCGGCCGGGAAGAAAAGAAAAGCGGCACTATTCTACTATTACACCCCCAAGAACTCAAAATTTTAATTTTCGATGAAACTTCGCCTATAGAGGCAATCCGATGCCCTGATAACGAATATGACCTTCATTTTTGGTGTTGGCGCCATTTGGCTCCAATTGGCGCCAANCCAAAAATGAAGGTCATATTCGTTATCAGGGCATCGGATTACCCCTGTAGGCAAAGTTTCATCGAAAATTAAAATTTTGAGGTTTTGGGGGTGTAACAGTGGAATGGTTCTGGGGGTGTAATAGTAGAATAGTACCGAAAAGCCATTCAAAGTTCTCATAACTTTACTCGCTTAAGAATAAAAAGTTTCGTAAAATTCAAGCTGCCTTCTCAACTGAGTAGATCAAAAGATATCAATCGTTCACGGTAAAATAATTGATATTCAAGTAAACAGTGTAATTTCTGGAGATTATAATTACATTGATTTCTCGTTCACCAAGCCTTCCATATACCGATATAAGCCATAGCTTCGAACGGTATTACCATCGACGTTAAAAGGCTGTAAAATGTGATTATTTTGGAAAGTTACCTTTCAAATAAATGCTACCCTACCATTAAACTGATGTACCGATACATATAAGTCATATTACAAGCATTTTCCTTGTGAAGATTCACATGAATCATGAATAAACGTCCAGCCAGGGCTATGGCGATTAATACAGAAAATAGATAAACCATAATAATAGTAATAGCTCTAGCGGAGTCTAATAGAGAAGCTAAAGTTAGGCAGAGGAATGCCCTTTAAAGCATGTGGCGGTCTGCAACAGAAAATGAATTTAAGCGAAATCCTAACACAAAGCTCCTTGGCACCTGCAATACACGATGAGATCGAATATGAAATTGGACGGAGTAAAATGAAACCAACAAGCTAAGGAGGTCGCAATGCTTACGAATATGTAGGCGATCAATACTTCTTCCTCTTAATTATGCAACTACTGAACCTTTCCTGGGTTCACTCGGTTCCAAAAACTCACGAAACAAAAAGTTTAAGTTTAACATTTGCAAAACAGCCGAACACATCACTTTGGCAAGACTTGCTGCTTTTCCTCGGGCACCAGAAAAAGAAGAGGATACGGTATATGTGCGCATTTTGGTGCAACACACCCGAGACCAATAAGACCACGACAAGCGTGTCCACCTTTCCTCCACCGAGAAAGGAGCAAGGGTTTAGGAATGTGCCAAAGAAAGTGCTGCTAATCTAATTTTCAGCGTAGGACAGCGGTTAGACGATAAAGAGACTGGGAAATTTAGGCGGAGGGTTCATGGTATGCATCCAAGATCCGATCTCCTAGCCATGCGTGTGGTAGTGCGCTACTGGCATTACAGTATCTCCATCCTTACCGATTTACGGACATAGGTGCGATAGTTGTCAGTGATTATGGCTATATGATAAGGATAGAGTTAGGTAATAAACATCCAAACACTTCATCCTCTACCTATGCCTCAGTTTTCTTCACAGCAGCTCAATGAAAGGTTGGTACACTGCATCACCTCTTAAGACTGAGCTGTCAACAGCAATTCGCCATCCTTCAAGCTCCAATTGGCAAGTGTCGGAAAGTGTTAGCTCCCGTGGGTGTCACCAGCTCTGTATGATATAGACTGTCACTGCTCTTCGTGACTTCAGGGACTAACGGTCATTGTCGCGAACGGGATGGTGGTTGGTGTACTCCGTTAGGGCGCTGATGTTACGCCTAGCCACGCGTTACAAGGCGGTCCTGCTACAGGCCACCCCGATCGCGGAGAGAGCGGGAAGCTGTGTGCTGTAGGTGCGTTGCTATCAAATGGTGTGGCATCCACTGCCTTCTCCCCTTTCGTACCTGCGGGGCCACTCCTTCTGCCTACCTGTTCGTGCGGGTTATATATGCGTGAATACATATAAATCTACAAGACTACATGAGCATATATGTATATGCGTGTACTTCTATTAATAAACTATTAGCTATTGTGACTATAGTTAAAGAAGGAAAATGCGATACGAAAGCACTTGCCCGTAATCACGGCTATTACGACATACGACATACACAAACGGATATTACTTTTATCTTCATACGACACGTAAATGCGAGTTATATCTACGGGTCAAGCTCCTGCCTCATTAGGGGTCGTCG